CCTTCTCGCAGTCTCCCAGACTTGACAGCTTGCTGTCCGAACAAGGCTATGGCACACTAGGTTACTTCTGAGTAGACATGCCTAGAATAGAAGTGTGGTTTTTATGAAGTCTATAACGAGTGGGTAAAACGATCACGTTGGTAAGAATGTCTTCCTTGCCCTACCACTTCGCTTTTGCCCTGCTTTATATCTATTGCTGAAATCCGAAGCCCCTTTCATCTCCTTCCCGAAACTGAATTCGTCCCAGCCTGCAACTTGAAAGGAAGCCAGACCTTTATTCATCTCTTTGCTTTAAGCGAAGGGAGAACATTAAGCGTATTTAGACCTTCAGCAACATGGTTTAATCTTTAGCATCATGATCGGGCTTTGGGGTAAAAGGCAGGGTACAGGCTCAATAAGTAGCATTCTCCTCTTTTCTTTCCTTGTCATGTCTACTTAAGAGACTCGTGCTCATAACAGATCTATGGGGCCTAAACGGATATGCCCGACATCAGCACCTCTCTCTCCACCCACATCGCATCCAACATACAATATCAGTGGTGAAAAGGAAGCCTCCGGCCGCACCCTTGCCGACCCTGCTCTGAACCACGTTTTTCTTTCAGTTCAGTATGCAGCCCGTAGGTGATGCTTAATGAACGGCACTTTATCCGCTCTGTCCGCCCCCACTCTGGTTCCCTTCCTAACTGCTCTCTGTGCTCTTCCGAAAGAGCGGAGGGAACGCTCCGGGATAGCACGGGAGTAAACGATCTGCCACCGCTTTAAATGGTTTCCCCGGAAGACTTCGGGGTTCCCTGATCATCTGTGAGGAAGGAACAGCAACTTCTCTCGGCGTTGCAAACTTTCTCTCCCTCTGCGCCTTCCCTTCCCCCGCCCCTCCCTTTATCGGGGTTGCTTTTGCAATTGACACTCTGGGCTAACAGACGGGTCTAATATCAACCGCTCTGCAGAGGTTAAGAAGCCTGGGGCGAAGGACGCGGGGGAGGGGCAGGGAGGGAGGGAGGGAGGACGTGGAGGGAGGACGGCGAGGATTAAATACTGCGCTTTGTAAGTATTTACAATTACATATAATCTTCAGGTCGCACGTTCCTTTGCTTATGCTTTTGTTGTCCAGTGGTTTTGTTTGTTTATTTTTACACGGCGATTCTGCTAAATAATCTCGTGAAAATATCCAAGACAATGAATTATTCAAATAAATATATTTTTTTACAAAAAAAGGAATGAAACACACGCAGACCTGCCTTTTCCCCCTCCAAATCAGGTAAACATCCCATCAAATTAATAGCTAATATTAACTTTTGTCTTTCGGACGAGGAAGCCATATCAAAATAATGCATTAAAAGCCTCTGCGAGGGGGGAGGCGCCCTCCACTCCCCCGCCACCCTCTCCGCCTGTTTCCATCTTTTAAACTTGTAAGGTGTGTGTGTATGTGGCGGGGGGGGGGCGACCATAGGTTTTGCAGCAGGACTCGTGTGGCTTGGCGCAGTAATAACGGCTAATAAATATTTAACTACACATTTATTTTGGGGTGGGTTGGGGAAGGAGCCTCGACTTGGAGGGGGGACAGGAGTTGGCATGAAGGGGAACCAAAGCAAAGCACTCTGCTCCCATTGCAAGGACGAAGTCTAATTAAAGGTAAAAGCTCGGTTGGGGGGGGCACAAGGGGGCGGGAAGCGACTCTGACTGTCCAGAGTGGCAACATTTATTGGTCACAATGCAGAATTCCGTGTGTCTGCTTTAAATAATTAAAAGGCGAGGAATAATTACCGAACCACTTTGTAATTATGGCGAGCCATCCACTCCTGGAAACTGGAGCTGCATCTAAGGGCAAGCCAGGCTCGGTTACCGAAGCGCCCTCATGAATTTTCCAGCTCACCTTTTGTCTCTCCAAGGAGGAGGAGGAGGAGGAGGAGGAGGAAGATTTGCGGACAGGGAGGAGGTGGCCGACAGGGGCGGGTGGTGTGGCCAGGAGGGCTTCTTAGCTTGGACTAAAAAAAAATAAATCAGGTGGGCTTCCCAAACTCCTCAGTTGTCAAAGGGAAACCGGCGCCCCGTGCTTGAGGGAGCAAAACTCTTCCCAGTTATGAGGGCCCACCCCCCGCGGCCGTTTGTTCTCCGACTGTCCCTCTCTTCTCTGTTGCGACGGCTTCAGCTGGCTTTTCAACTTTCACAAGCCAGCCCTTTCCCCGCGAGCGCAGGTTCTCAGGAAGAGACTGATGCCCCCAAACCAGCTTCCAAGGACAAAGTGCGCTTCCCGATCCATCAGCCCTTGCGGAGGCGAGCGCATTTTCATCACAAAGCGTGTCCAAAGCTGGAGCCCATATGCCGGGGCGAAGGGCGAAAGCTGCTCGCTGGCGGAGGGAAGCGCCGGCCTCGCCGAAGTGCCTCGCCCGAGGGCGCCAGCCTGGACCGTTATTAACTTCTGTTTGATTAGTGTAATTGCTCAAATTTGGGGCCGGACAGTATGATTAATTACAGTTTAATTAACGCGTCCATTAAGATCACTTAATGCCACGATGCTTTTAGAAACAGCCTGAGGAATCGAACTGTGGGAAGGCGAAGGGAGGAGGTGTTTTTAATTAATATTTTATTTTATTTTACTATATTTTATTTTATTTGGCTTTGTTTTCGGGGAAATTCTCCCGGAAACAGAAATGTCAAAATGAAGAAAGAAATCGAGAGAAACAGGAAAGCAACCGCAATAAAAGGAAACGAGTGAAAATAAATAAAATCCAGAATTAAGACAACTAGTAACAAGGATGCATTCCTCCTGAATGCGAGGTATTCAAAGGACTGCTTTCTATTTCAACATCTGTAGCAACTAATGTTCTTTAGAGACTGGTTCTCTTTCCCATGTTTCGTTTGCACTCGCCTTTCGAAATGCGAGGGTTTCTTGGGAATGTTCCTTTGGCCTTGGGAATGTAGTTCCAGGGCCACAGTGACACACGAGAAATCCCTCTAGTTTTTTCTAAGTCAGGTTTCAATTCGGGACCACTTCCTTTTCGAAACAGGTAACAAATCTACCCTATTGCGGTTTAGGCTTTAACTAGAACTCCACTAGAAAATCCCTCCTTCTCTCACCCCTTCCTTTCATGTATGCAGATTAAAATCTAGCTCAAAGATTCAGATAAAGGTTTACGTAAAGAAAATCTCGGGAATAATTGAAGTTATCTCTTAGCCAATATGAAAATCCACACAGACAGACAGATATAAACAAAACAGGTGGGTAGCCCCCCCCCAATACCTCTCTCGTGGCACTGTGCATCACTTTCTGATCATTTTATAACCATCAATGATTAGGTTTCCTTTCCGAAGACAAAGGGAAAGTTTTCCAGTTCAGTGCCCAGGTGTCCATAATGACGTATACTCAGATACCTTTCTATTTGCTTATTTAGAAAGTCTTCACCGCCTTCCTCACAGTCTAATCTACTCGTCTCGTTTGAGGGCGGGGGGGGGGGCGGTTCCAATTTCAGAGAGGCCGGATTTTGTCGTCCAGTTGCTATAAAGCTTTATATTTATCGTCGGGTTGCCCCACAATAGGGTGGGGTGCCTATTGATTGGCTTACGAATAGCAGATGGGGCATCTTTTCGGTTGTATCTCCCACCGACCATCACCCCCCCCCCATACCACGACTGGCAGATCGGAGAGAAATACAAACTTCCTGCCAGCACAGAAAAGATCTCTCCGGATTGATACCCCGTTCTCCTTCTCCCTCCCGAGACTTGGGGTTTTTATGTGCCTACACCTTTCATAGTTTTTGCATGACGCCCCGAGGTCTCCTAATCCCCCCTTTTGGAGGAGGCGTCTAGGGAGAACCTACTTCAGGTAAACAGATCCTTTTGTGACAGAGGACAGAGCTGTGCTTATTTGGGGGCTCTGGAAGCCCCCCCCCCGTGTTTGTGGGACTCATTGGGGAAGGAAAAAGGAGAAGGAAGGAATTTGGAAGGGGCCCAGAGAAGGAAAATATGGGGAGTGTTTGGGGGAAAGAGTGGGGCTGGGGAAACGAGGAGTCCGGAGAGAAGAAAGGTGGCCTGGTTGGTATTGCCCTTCCCCCTCCCCATTTTAATTAAAAAGGGGGAAATTGGGACAGCGGGGCGGAGACCTTCTATAGCATATCTTAGCAACGAATGCTCTGGCGTTTCTTCTCTGCCCTGCAAATATGCTGGACACAAGGCTCCATTCTTTCCACGCGACAACATCTGGTACTTAGAAGAGGGTGGATGCTCATCTCCGCGCGGGGGCTGGGAGGTTTAGTAGGGGAGGAAGCCCGACAGCCCCCCCTCACCTCTGCAGCCCCCCTCCATCTTCTCCTTTAATAAAACCAACCACCCGGAGGGGCTTGAGAAGATTGCTGGGAGAGCCTGCTCAGGTGGAGGCCGGCGGGGCGTCGTGTAGGCGAGCTGGCCGGCGGACCCGGGGCCTTAAAAGACTGCCCTATCTGGGGCGCGGGGGGGGGTCAGGGTTGCCCTAGTCCCTTTTCCTCCTCGCCGCTTTCAAAACCTGTGTGAAAGGTGTGCCAAATCCTGGCCCGCTTACCTTTTCGTCGCCGGCGGTTTCTTCGCACCACGTTACTTCCCCACATCCTCCTCCTCCCCTCCCGGCTTGGCCCCCCCTCCCGCACGCTCCAGTCGGCAATCTGTTTTTCCTTAAAGAAGCCCCATCTGCCTTTTGATTGACTGGCGCCGCCGGATGATTGACACGCACCCGAGTCCCGGCGGCGCTGCGCGTAAATGTGGCGGCGGCGATGCCGCTAAGTGGGTGTTGCCTTCCCCTGATTTTCTCTGTCACTGGATCAATGTGCAACGTCCTCAGCTGAGGATCAGGATCCTCCTCTCCTCCCCACCCCTCTTTTCCCTTGCTCCCTTTTCTTCCTCCGTTCCTTCCTTCTTCTTCCCCCCCTTTCCTTTTCGCCCCCCTGAGAAGCCATGTGGTCAGCCTGCCGCCTGCCTCTCCACAGCGGAGGACAGAGGCGAAGGGCAGGAACCCGCCGGGCAGAGCCTCGATGAAACTCCGCGCAGCGGCCAGAGAGGATTTGGGCGCTGCTGGTAGCGCTTCTTCCGCCGCCGCGCTCTCTTCCCTCTTCTCGGACCTGGGTGAGTGAAGTCCGCCCTTTTCCAAAGGTAAGCGCCTGTCCTCTACCTCCGCCGTTTTGGGAAGGGGCTCAGCCTTCGTCTTCCCACGCCTAGGTCGCCATACTTCGTTCCTTCGTTCCTTCGTTCGTTCGCTCGTTCGTTCTTCCTTCCTTCCTTCCTTCCTTCCTACAAAACGGGCTCCTTTGAAACTCCGCCGTTCTTCTCCCAGTTTCGCGACTAGGCACGGTGGCTCGGGGAAGCCTGCTCTTCCTTGCCTTAGCTTGATGGCTTGTTTTCTTCCTTGCCATCTCGCAGTCTTTAGATGCTTCGGATTGTTCGTGCGAGGCACCCCGTGTTTACTGTCTGCTTTCGCTTAGGTTTAGTTTTCGGAAAAGGCTTAGATGGATTGATCGTTTAACTCTCCGTTAAAAGAAGGAAAAAATTAGTAAGTTCAAGAGAGGCAACCTTCGCGCCTTGATGCCATTTTTAAAAAATGCATTTAATTATTATCTGAATGCACGCATTTCTTTTAAGGGTGGTTTTTATCTCTTAGGTTTGCTTGTTTGTTTGGTGTGTTCGTTTAAACCTTCACCCCCTACTCCTTTGATTCTTCTTTTTGTGATTTGGGGGCATGGAGATAATGGAAAAGAAATTTGAGGCGCATGCAGTAGAAAAAGATTGACAAGGTGGTATTCACATTTCAGAAGGGCACAAACGGTTAGACTATTTTGTGTAATTACAACGAAAGCCTCTTACTTAATCCGGGGAGATCCTGTTTGGGTAAGCTCATTCGTTTGGCTCAGGGTCCCCTTCTGCTCCTTCCCTCCCTTCCCCCCCCCCAATCGCCCGCTTTCTTTTCTTTAACGTGCTGTTGGAGTCTTTAAGTGGCACGGTTAAGTAATCTCCCTTGCTCCTAATCTCCAGTAAAGACCGGGCCGGGTGTGGGGGGGAGGGGGACGCTTTCCACGGATGTTCAACTACTTTCAAGTCTATTCCACCAACCACATTTAGAAATTAGAGAATCCCGCAGAGGGAGGGGTGGAAATGAAAACTAGCTGGCTTCGATTTTTCTTTTTGGTCCCTCCGCTGTTCGCCCGCACTTTTGCTTGCTCCGTGCAAGCTTTTAGATCGTTTCCTAGTTTCTAAGAAAGACTGGGCACTTGGAAGTCCTTGCAAGCAGAAGAAACCCCTTTTTGTTGTTGTTTTGTTTTTGTTAAATACATCTGGCCCCATGTCGGGGCAGGATTACTGCTCGGACTAAGAAAGGCAATGAAGGTATTTAAACTAGCCTTTCCCTTAAGCCCTGAGCTGGTCACGGAAAGCAGGAGAAGGTACTTTGGCTACAGATAGGCAGGATCGCTCCTCTAACGTGTAAATACCATTGCGAGCTGCTCTAATTAAAGTCTCCTCCCCCGCCCTTGGAACAATGGCCATTTTCCCAAACAGGAGATCCTCGTAGAGCTTTCCTTAAAAGCACCGTCGAAAAGGAGGAAAAGTGAGTGGTTGCGAAGCAGCCACTGGGGAACCTTGGGACTCAATCCCTTCCGGGGAGGCGGTTCAACCGCCGGCCACAAATTTCATAGCAGGGTGTCAATGTGACACACACAGAGCGCCAATCGGCGCGTTATTCTTTGGGGAATCGTGGTCTTGCCTGTCGTTTTCTTCCACGCGGGATTGAAGAACAAGCCTTGGCCTGAGCTTCAGGCCGAGAGACGCCCTCTTTCTCTCTTTTAAAAAACGCCCTCGCCCTCGCTGGCCTTTCCCTGGGATCGGGTGACTTTCAAAATGGCTCACCGGAGGAGGTGGAGAGGGCGGAGGGCTTTGCGGGGCTTCCCGTAGCCCGGCGTTTTCGAAGCGGTTTGAGGCGGGCGGGGGGGCGATTTTCGTGTTCCTAAGCGGTGGTCAGGGAACCCAGAGCCCCGCCAGCCTCCGCAGGACTACTGCGGGTGGAAAGGTTTAGGGGAGGGGGGCAGCGGATCTGAGGCTGTGCCCCGCGCCGCCCCAAGCCTTGGAGGGCAGACCCGCAGCCCCGGCAGCGCGGCCCCCGTGGACCTGGCCTACGCCCGGCCGCCTCCGTGGCTGGTGCGCTCCTGCCTTTCCGCAGGTTGGCCCTGTTCTCGTTGCCTTCGGCTGAAAGCTTCTCCTCCTTTCCCCTTCTTTGCAGGCGCTTGGCCGTCCGGAAACAGATGGAGTCGCTGGCTGCCGCCGCCGCCGCCGCCGCTGCTGCTGCCGCCGCCGCCGCCAGTCAGCTGGGACCTGGGCGAGAGGCTGGCTCCTCCTCCTCCTCCTCCTCCTCCTCGTCGTCGTCCCCCCACTCTTCCAAGCAGGAGCTGCAGCCTTACTCGGGCTCCAGCCCGCTCAAGCCCAACCAAGTTGGGGAGACCTCCTTGTACGGGGTGCCCATCGTCTCGCTGGTGATCGACGGGCAGGAGCGCCTGTGCCTGGCGCAGATCTCCAACACGCTGCTCAAGAACTACAGCTACAATGAGATCCACAACCGTCGGGTGGCGCTGGGCATCACCTGCGTGCAGTGCACCCCGGTGCAGCTGGAGATCCTGCGGCGGGCCGGGGCCATGCCCATCTCCTCGCGGCGCTGCGGCATGATCACCAAGCGCGAAGCCGAGTCCTTCCTGGGGGAGCTCAAGCCGCCCAAGCTGCCGGAGAACTTCGCCTTCGACGTGGTGCACGAGTGCGCCTGGGGCTCCCGGGGCAGCTTCATCCCCGCCCGCTACAACAGCTCGCGGGCCAAGTGCATCAAGTGCAGCTACTGCAGCATGTACTTCTCGCCCAACAAGTTCATCTTCCACTCGCACCGCACCCCGGAGGCCAAGTACACGCAGCCCGACGCCGCCAACTTCAACTCTTGGCGCCGCCACCTCAAGCTCAGCGACAAGACGGCCACGGATGAC